CCTACTACCCTCGTGTGCCTTNTCCTCCCACGACTATTATCCACTATATATNTATATATACGGGATATNTACAATCAGAACCTTTTGAAAATATAAAGGTTAATGTTAGAATGAGTTGTGAAGGGTCGATTTATTATTTTTTTTTTAGTTTTTGTGGTTCATTAAGTAGGGGTCTATCTATAACTATCACTAAAAGACAATAGCACATTTATCATCTTCATAAGGGGTAAAATTAAAATTTTTACTAAAGGGAAAGGGTATTCCACAAATAAAGTTTAACTTCGAAAATACTATTACACTAAGAAGTCATCCAAATTAGCCTTAGCACAACAAAACACAACAAATTATAGCCAAAGATCCAGGGAATCACACACAAGAGACCAATGAGGTACCACATGGACGGACTACACCATCTAAACTTGAAAAGGTCAATAAATAGGGTTCATATTGATAAGAAAGCTCCCAAGAATATATAGAAATACAGAGCCAAATGGTTATGATAAACCAGCGACTCATTATGATCTAACACATGAACATTAAGGGCCTAGTACAATCTTCTGCACATACACAAGTACATATAAGGACATTAGACATGTCACCCTAGTTACGACTTTACACGAGTGCAGGTCAAAGTGCAAATGGATGAAAGAATAAGTATGATAATAGAAGAAGATTCCTGCAATAGTTAGACACGACACACACACACACATATATTATATGGCATTGATATATTGTTGTTTTAATGAATAGAGCAGATGTTGCTCAAAATTCGATACACGAAAACTCAATTAACATAGGTGATGTAAGGAAATTGAATATGAACAAAAAAAAACAGTAATTCAGCTCAAAAAGGGTATTTTCAAAATTATGTTTGTCGAGAGGGGATCACATGGTGCCCTTGGAACCAGCCCCACATGGGTGGGGCATGGAGCCCACCCATGGGGGGTCTACACGTCCCACATGGGGCGGCATGCCCCCTTCTCTCTTTATTCCTTTAAGTCTTGTTTTAATTAAAGGGTGCGGTATGTATAAAGCTGAGGCTCTAAACAATCAAAGTGAAGTGTACCTTCATATAGTGTCAAGAAATGTGTTTTCAATACTGGAAATCTTTGTGATAGCCTTAAAATATATTTTCATCTCTAATTATAAAATTTAAAGCTTTTAAAAATAGTATATATCGAGCAAATATATGAAAACTTGAAAATCTTGAAAATTGATGGTCCAAAATGCATTATAAGATGCACCATTAACTTGAAATCCATTTTTTTCTCATGTCCATACAACTTGAGGTCGAGATGATCAATTTGAGGACACTTGGGCATCAGAACAACATCTTCTAATGAAATTTTTGAGGTGTGCCCTATGACCTCATAGATTTCCTAAATTCCTATTGGTCATGGTAAATCATACCTAAAGGTCCTTAAGGCCTATATAAGGACATGAACCTTCCTCATTCTCTACACTTAGTCTCCTAGCCTCTCTCTCTCTTGACTCTCTCTCTCTTTGCTCCAAGCCCCACTCTTCCATCACTCATCTCTCTAGTTGTTTCTCTCCACTCTTTCTCTAGGTCGCATGCCACCCCCATAAGGTATGAGGGGCGGCATGCACCAACCCTTGTTAGGGTTTAAGAGGGAGTCACGCCCATCCCTAGAAAGAGGAGGTGCCTTGAGGCATGTCCTAATTGTTCAAAAAGGAGTCCAATAAAACCTAATTGTATATAACGCTCTCTAAAACCCTAGTTTTGTGAGGTATTGCCTATAGAAGCTTCCCGGCTTAGAAAATTTAACAAGGCCAAAAGCATTAGAGTTCGTCACTGGTCAGGAAATCGAGTGTGGGGTATATGAAGTCCTATGGGTGTGACCCTGGGCACATTCAAGTTGAGTTTTCCCGGCCCGGCTGTCAGCTTTTATTTTTCACTCATATTTGCATAGTTTCTTGAATTTTTGGGAACTTTAGTTGTACTTAATTTGTTAGAGGAACATTGTTTTTCATTCACGTATTGTGTCTATTCAATTTGGCAATAAAAGCAAAGGTCCTTGGTGGTATTTAGGGTTTTATTTTTCGATTACAGCGGGTGTATTATACACTTAGTAAGTGGAGTTCAGATTTATTAACATATTTTTTAAATCTCCCAAATAGATTTGATGTTTAATTGTAATACAAATTTAGTTTTTGTAACGTGCTTCTTTTAAAGAAATTATGAAATTAATGAAGCATTTTATTATTATTTCATAATGAAGCATTTTATTATTAATATAATAAATAATTTCATAGTCTCCAAGGATTATATAGGCTTTTAATATAAACATATAGACCATCATCATCATCATCATAGCTTATTCCCAATTAATTGGTAACATAAACATATAGATAAGTTTGGAAAACCCAAATAACATGTTATTAGTGGTATTATGTCAGTTTTTTATCGCCGTATACCAATGACACTGAAGGGAAAGTTCTATAGGACAACGGTGATATCTTTGCTCTATGCGATGAAATGTTGGGTGGACAAAAAACAATATACCCATAAAATGAGTATAGCAGAGATGAGGATGCTGAGATGGATGAGTGGCAAGACAAGAAAGGGCAAAATTCGAAATGAATCTATTCGAGAGAATTTAGGCGTGGCACCAATAGGCGATAAAATGAGAGAGAATAGACTTAGGCGTGTTGGCCATGTGTGGCACCAACCAAGCACAACACCTGTTAGGAGGTGTGAGTTAGTTCAAGTGGAAGGATTGAAAAAGGCAAGGGGTAGGCTCAAAAAGATGTGGTTGGAAGTAGTTCGAAAAGTTATTGGGACTTATGACCTCACTGAGGATATAGCCTTTAATAGAGCAGAATGGAGAACCAGGATTCATGTAGCTGACCCCACTTAATTGGGAAAAGGCTAAAATAATGATGATGATGATGATGACAATGATGATGATCATGTTAGTTTCTGAAAACGTCATTTATATATGAAACCAGAGAAAAAAGACAAACATTTTAATAAACCATCGAAACAAGCCAGATTTGAGTGGATCTGGCTTTCCTTGCACAAAAAAAGTGAAGTCCTTCACATAGTTAGCCTTCCTCCCCTGGATCTCCTTGCCACCTTGTGATGTGGATCATCAAAAAGGGGGTCGTCAAATGATGGATTGATTTGGTCAAATGGCCCATGAGAGTTGTCTCAACTTGTCGAAGGACTGTCTGGTGCATTAATTATCCATCCCTATATGCAATACTTGGTTTGAAGAGATACATAGTAAAAGTTTGCATTGTGACATGGTCCCACAGGAATACATTGTATATTTACTCCATCCCTCATGTTATGACCTGCCGAGAAATGTTTTTTACTTAAAATTCACAATTTATGTTTTCTGGGGGCTGAGGAGGTTAGCCTATTGGTATTTGCTCAAGAGAGTAAATGGGCAGTTTGTTCTTATAAGAACACAAAATCAAACTTATGAGAAATGGCAAACACATATTTATGTCGCCCAACTATGAGAGGCATATGGTGCACGCCATGTATGCACCAGATTTATATATAATAGATATCATACATTGACTTTCTTATATTATTTAAATATTATATTGGGAATCAAGAATTTAGAGGCTCTGTCTTTTACTTCAGTGTTATCATGACATTGACTTTCCTATATTATTTAAATATTATTTTTTCTTATCGAATATAATGTCCCTCCCTTAAACTCAATATAATAATTATAAAAAGTAGTCCATGTCAAATTTCAAAAAAAAAAATTCGTTCAGGTCCATTTTATCTATAAGGTTATTAAAGTGTAAATAACATGTCTGAACCTCGAATTGTAGGAGGCGAGAAAACTCAAGCACCCATCTCAAGGTCGACGATGTGATCTTTGATCAAGCTCACCTAATCAAATAGGCTGTCGTACTCTTCTCCAATCTCTTCTCTGCACACCCCGGCCCGAGACCCAAACTGTGCCTCCCAAAGTCTTAGGGAGGTCTGGGTATTCACAATTTGAGAGTCCACAATGATGCTCTCTTGGGTAAGTGGTGGTGGAGGTATGTGACCCAATCAAGCCACCTATGGAGAGAAGTCATCAAACACAAGTACTGCCATGGCTCCGACCTATGGATTCCTGTGTGCAGGAATAATGGCCTAATTTCTGGATTCTGGAAATCTGTCCTTAAGTGCCATGAGCAATTCTCTCATCACATAAGGTTTCGCCCAAGAGAGGGAACCAGGGTCACGTTTTGTAAAGACATTTGGGTCTGATGCAGACCTCTGAGGGATAAATTCCCTAGCCTCTTCCGCATAGAATGCGAATAACCGTCGCAGAAAACTTTGGGATCACGGGC